CACAGCCCCTCGTTTGTTGTCCTCTTCTCCCTCTCTGCCTACGGTTTACCGGGCAGTTCTATTTGACGATATATAGTCAAACAGAGCTGCCCGGTAAACCGTAGGCAGAGAGGGAGAAGAGGACAACAAACGAGGGGCTGTGGCAGACTGTTTCGTCGGAGTTTCACCGACTCATCATGTATATCGTCAAACAGAGATATATATAGGGTTCAGCCTCCTGATGAGTCGGTGAAACTCCGTCGAAACAGTTTGTCACAGGCCCTCGTCTGTTGTCCTCTTCTCCCCCCCTCTCTGCCTACTGTTTACCGGGCAGCTCTGTTTGATTATATATATGAGGGCTCAGCCTCCAGATGAGTTGGCTGCGGGAAGAGAATCCTGGAGTTCTTACGTGCCTGGGGCACTCTGGACCGGTGGGCAACCAGGCAACATGCACGGGCGCCGCGCCGGGCGTGCCCGGTTAGCCTAGCTTGCCCAGCTGCTCAGCTGCGGGGGGGGGGAAGGGAGACGGACCGTCCCGGCACAGTATCCCAGATAACCTAGATTTTGAAATTTAAAGTGCTTTTTGCCAAGTGACGAAAAAAAGGGCATCGAAATGAAGAGGAAGGGCACCAAAATGCCAGACGAAGGGCACCGTCGTTTGCCAAGAAGAATTCTCAAGGAAACCTTGATTTCACAAAAGGGATTTGTCACCACATCTGGAAAAGAAAAACTTTTCCAAAATTCAAATGCAAAAAAATATTACTAAAATAGGAAGGTTTGGATCGTCCATCAAGAAATTGTAATGCTTCAGAGCAGATTGGCACAACGCTTGTGTAAGGGTGTGGAGGACAGCGGAATCAAAGAATGGTATTGTTGTTTCCGGCGGAGGGCGCCGACGAGGAGATGTGTTGCACTGCTTTGGGCAGGTGGCACCTCCTAGGAAGACTTTTGGTTCTCCAAACTTGCAAAGTTTTTTTTTTTTTTTTTTTTTTTTTTTTTTTTTTTTTTTTTTTTTTTTTTTGGCTTTCTGCTGACCTGTGAAATGTGAGCGAGTTCACAAAATCTTCTTAGTATTTTTGTGCCGATGTCGTTTGTCTGTTTGTGGCAATGTCTTGATGTTGAACATGACTTGTATGTCGTCAGGGTGCCCGTGATCGGTATGCTGAAGACCAAATAACAAGTCAGCTGTTCACACAGGTGAGACACACGCTCGTCCGGGCCGTTTATTATATATATGGGCCTAGTTGTCCTGCGACACTTGTGCTGTAGATCCGACCAATGGGCCTACATGTAGCTCAGTATGTACACCCAAGAACCGCTGAAATACAGACCCAACTTCAAATCCAGATGCAATCAGATGACGAGAACGTAACGATTTCGAAGTACCTGGGGGTTGCTGGTCAGTCCATTCATCTAATGATAATGCCTCAAGGCCGGGACCCATGAATTGGTGAAATACAGACCCATGTTCAAATCCAGATGGAATCAGATGATCAGAATGAAACAATTTTGAATTACCTGGGGCTCGCTGGTCAGTCCAATGATAATATCTCACAAGGCCGTCACCCCTTTCAAAAGAGAGGAGACCACCGCCGATTAGGCCGGGGGGTAGCGACATGCATCCCTTAATTGGGAGAGGTAGCTATGCTTGCAGGGTGCCCCCTGTATAGGCTTAGGAGTAGTGGTTGGTAGGTAGTGAAAGGTGAAATTGAGAGAAGAATATAGCTTAGCTTAAAAAAAAAAGAAAAAAAAAGGGTTGTACTGTAGATCCTTAGTTGAATGCACTGGCAGCAATGTGGTGGTGAACTAGGCTACCAGAGTGGCCCGGGGTCACTTGCCCGGCCGGGCCCAAAAAAAAATAAATAAATTATATATATATATTTTTTTAATTTTAAAATTGGTGAAGAATTTCGATGTGACCCTGCGGCAAAAGTTGTTCAGTTTATTTTGCTGCATAACATAGTTTTTTTTTGGATTTTTTTGAATTTTTGTGTTTTTGCTGGGAACTTCCCTGGTCCTTGCACGGGCCGGCCACCCGGGACCCAGGCCGCCCAGCTGGTAGCCTAGGTGGTGAACCTTTTTCTGCTGGCCTCTTTTTTTTATTATTATTATTTTTTTTTCTTCTTGTTCCCAGCCTTAAGGCTGCGGTATAGTGGGCTTCAGCGTCCGTGTCTAGGTGTCGCATTTTCGGCGGCAGGCGACCAGGGCACAAGTGGGTTCTCAGGGGGGCAAAAGTTTGTGGGGGAACGGTCCTTGGCGATATTGCGGAGGACCTACAGCGAGCTCTCGTAGAACGGGGACTTTTGGAAAAAGGAAGGACCGGTCATCAGGTGGAAGCGGACCCCAAAAGGAAGTAAGAAGGGGCGGTGGGAGTTCCATGCGCTGTCCAAGGCGGAGGGTACCGGCGGGTCCAGGCCCACAATTTGCAAGAGGCAAGTTTGACGATTTTTTTGTGCTCGGAGGAATTAGCAGAAAAATCTGAAAATTTGAGAATCCATAGATTAGGTCGTGATCTTTCCAGGAAAAATATCGGAACATTTTCAAAAATCATTAAGACCGCGTAATAATCGCCGCGCCGATTCAGCACATTTTCCATTTTTGCCGCTCAACCATTGTGTGGGCCCGATGGAAAAAGTACTACTTCAGTGATTTTTTGCGCTCAGAAGAACGCCTGAAAAACTATCAAAGCCAGGAACCGGGCCCGGCGTCCCTTACAAAATTAGGTGGGGCCCTCAGCGGGCAAGGCATCACCGGTCAAGCACATCGAGGGCACCACTAGATTTCACCCCACAGTCAACTCCACAACCAACTCCACAGCCCCTACCACGGAAAAATCAACGAAAATTATCAGCAAAATCCAAGTTCATCACCAAGACACTCTAATCACAACAGTTGTGACAACCCTAATTTAGTGACCAAAATTCCACCAACCATGAAAAGAAAGCCATACGCAAAAGGAAACTACAATCAAAACCACAGAAAAGAAACCAGCAGTCAGCGCTACTTGATCATGTCCTCTATTCATCCAGAGTTACTACCAACCCCTGCCAATCCGCCCTGCCACCCGCGCGGCAGGGGTCTGTGCCCACAGGCCCCAAACTGCTGACAGAGACCCGGCAAAGCCACCCACCTCCTCGCGATTCAAAGCGGATAGCACTTCCCCACACTCTTCATACAACAACATCAACTCCCACCACTATGTTGTTTTCACTAACCAGGGGATTGCCCCACCTCCCGTGCGGCAGGGGCCAAAAAGCCCCGCAAAACCCACCCACCTCCTCGCGATTTAGGGTAAGCCCCTCCCTCAATTCTGCATACACCCCCTACGGATGCTTCCCCGCCTTTCATGACGAAGCCCCAGTGGAGCAATGCTCACCATTCTGCCTCAAGAATTCAGATGACAGCAGGACACCAGCCTATTAAGATGAAATGAATACCTGTCCCAAATTCAACGTCTCAGCAGTAGTACCCTACCTCCCGCATGGCAGGGTCAAAGACCCCGCAAACCCACCCACCTCCTCGCGATTTAGGGAAAACCACTTTCACTAATCTGCACCTTCTCACAAGGAAACCCCACCACCCACCATAATGGCATTTCTACAGAGCGGGACTCTCTCTTTCATTTTCATCGCATGCAGAAACACTACACAAGAATTGCCACAAATTATGACAACTATTACCCAAACGGCGAACAAGGAAAACACCAAAGATCACACATAGACTATCAAAATAATCAAACTACAGCTGAAGCCCCAATGCTCTTACATGTCTCTCTCTCTCTCTCTCTCTCTCTCTCTCTCTCTCTCTCTCTCTCTCTCTTTTCACACAAATTGCCTCAACGCTAGTCTAATATGAAACATAGACTATCAAACTATAGCTGAAGGCCCAACGCTCTTACATGCTGTTCTCTCTCTCTCTCTCTCTCTCTCTCTCTCTCTCTCTCTCTCTCTCTCTCTCTCT